AGAATATTTCCAGTACCTTGTTGAATATGTGCCATGAAGGATTAAGACAGTTCTGAAGGCAAGGTGTACCTAATAAAAAGGGCCGGTAAGTGTATATATGTCAACATTTAACAGTAGGAATTAATAAAAAAATTCCACCTTATTTACCAGTAAAAAAACGCTTACTAGAAACTTAATGGAAATGAATTGGTTCTTGCAGCTCAAATGTGTCATGTGACATGGAGGAATTAACCTTGTTGGTCCTCACACATCAAGCAAGCATGTTTAAAAAGGCCAGTTGACCCAAAAATGTATATTCTGTCATAATTTACTCATCTTCCACTTAATCTAAATCTGAGTTTCTTTCTTTTGTTAAACACAAAAGAAGATATATGGAAGAATGGTTTAAAACAAAACAGTCATCATCTTCTATAGTATTTTTGGTTTCTACTATGGATGTCAATGGCTGCTTTTTTACAACGTTCTTCAGATATCTTGTTTTATGTTCAACAAAAGAAAGAAATGTATGAGCGTTTAGAACCACTGAATTGCAGTAAATAATGAGGGAAAATTTCATTTTGGGCTAAAACATCCCTTTAAGTGTCTTCGACCAAATTTCAATTATGTAGACATTTACCTTATATGATCAGTGTTAATATATGTGAATTAAAATTGCATTAATTAATAATTTTGTTCATCATATAAAAGACTTGCATGCATACATAAAGACTAAAGAGTTAAACCATTCAATTTCATATGGATGCATTTTTGGACCTTTTTATAAATATGTTCAAAGAAGCAATAGAAATCTCTTTGATTAAAGCATCTTAATTTGTGTTCTGGTGAATGTATTTCTTATATGGGTTTAGAATGACATGAGGGAGATTAAATCTTTAGGTTTTGGGGGGAACCAACCCTTTAAATGAAAATTAAACGGAATATAAAGTTAATGAAAATTATAAATCGATTTACTTGTTATCTACCACACTGTGAGGTTTCCTGCTGTTTGGTACTGAGCATTTGGATAAATATTAATTGTTGGTGATGGTGCTGTAGCTTTCAAGATCCATCCTGGAAATGTTTCTTCTCTGATTAATGGTGTGACCCTGATTGTTTTAGGCCTCATTAATCTATTCTTAGCACCTGGTGAAACGCTCCTGTCATCCTGAGCTCATTTCATCTTTGTTATTCCGTCTCTGCATGTCTTTTATGATTATTTTCTGTGGATCCAGACTCTGATTAGATGGCTGACTCATTCTGTCTCTTCAGCTCATTTATAAGTCTCTCAGTCCTCGGGTTTGACTCACTTTTTCTGACTGCATTTAAAAATACCTAATCTCTGGATCTCTGCTTGCCCGTATCTGCCAACCCACCTCATCCATACTCAAATACCCGGTCTATATGACTAATAGAAATCTGCACAATCCCTCGCTGAAAGAAACTTTCGGTCAAATATAACCAACATTGCCTATTAAACATTTAGTTCCTCATTTTGTATATACTGTTTTCAGATTTTATATATATGTATATACTATTTGCATTATTCTCTTTTGTCTATTATATTTGCTTTATAACTAATACACCCATAAAGATTGGAGATTTAATCCGTTTCTGGAGATCAGATGACACTGTTAAATTGTTTGGTCTACTAGAACATGTGCTAAGTATCAAAATGGGTTACTTTGGTGCAGTAATTCACTAAAAATATAACATAATTACATTCTGTTTTGTCATTTACATTTTTTTGTGGTTTATTTGATACAAAGTAAAATAAGTAAAAAATACTTAACGAAAAGCCAAAACACATTTTTTTGAAATGTTGACAGTCATAATATATGTCCCACGCTGCAAAAAACACTATTACGACACATATATTTCAATAAAAATTGAAAGTTGGTTGTTTTTGCCTTACTTCAAGCAAATTCGTTTATACTGTTTGAAATTTTTTAAGCTGCGTCATGGAGATTAGATCCTACAAATGTGCTGCAAAGAAGGTTTTGTTTTCACTTCCCGCTATGAGAGCGCAGCTGGACTCATGTGTGGATTACAGTGGTCTGCTAACACGCGACAAAATACATTTGTAAAAACATTTTTTACCCGAGAGCTTTTCGCATCTGGAAATTGTAAAATCAGGATTTGCCGCTCATCTTCTTTGAAAAAAGATGCGGTTCCAATCTGTGTTGATTGTCCTGTCTGTACAGATTTGGTAAGTGCGTGATCAGTGTTCTTTATTCATGTTTATTCAGATAGCAAATTTAGCTAATGTCATCAGTAGTACTCTTTCAGTATTTATAGACGTACCTTAGTCAAAATGATTTAGTTACTAAGTTTACAGTACGTTAATATCACAACAATATTATGGACTGAAAGATCCTCTGTAAATGCTGCTTTTTGAGTGTAAACATGTAAACACCACAATCAAACTATTTTTGCCATCATTCAGAAGCTCAAATGTGCCATGTGATATGCAAGAATTAACCTCATTGGTTCTCACACAACAAGCGCGCATGTTTAAAGGGATAGTTCACCCAAAAATGTTAAATTCTGTCATCATTTATTCATCCTCCACTTTTTTCAAAACCTAATGAAATTCTTTCTTATGTAGAACACACACACAAAATAGATATACCAAAGAACTTTGGAAACTGGTAACTTCCTTTTTATTTTCCTTCTATGTCTAGCGGTTTCTAACATTCTTCAATATGTCTAATTTTGTTTTTACCAGAAGAAAGAAACTCAGATATGTTTGGAACATCTTTTACAAGAGTAAATGATGAGTAAATTGTAATTTTAGTGTGAACTATCCCTATAAGACAACAGTGCAGACCATCTTTTGGTCTAATTGTTTTTAAATATATCCTTAATTAATTAATTAATTAATTATGCTTTAATATCTGACCCTGGACAACAAAACAGTCATAAGGAAATTGAGATCACTAAGCTGAATATATAGGCTTTACAATGATGCACTGTTTGTTAAGATAGGACAATATTTGGTAAATAAATAACTATATGAGTAGTTCAAATCTGCTATTAATCGAATAGAATATTATTATTGAGGAAAACAAACTTTGAAGTTGTAAAAAGTTCTTAGCAATGTGTTTACTAATAACTGAAAGTTTTAATATATTAACGGTAGTTTTGATAAATTTACAAAATGTCTTCACGGAACGTTGAATATTCTTAATATTCATTAATATTCTTCTTAAAATATCATTTCGACTCATGAGATGTATAGTTAGCTATTCTTACAAAAATACTTGGACAACTGAAGACTTGTTTAGTAGTCCAAGGTCACACGTGTGTCAATAATAACCATATTTATTTGCCATGAACTAAACACGTGGTGATTAACAGCTTTAAAATGGGTACAGAATTCCACTTTCCCTCATTCATTCATTTACTTTTCGGCTTAGTCCCTTTATTAATCAGGGGTCGCGACAGCGGAATGAACCGCCAACCCATCCAGCATATGTTTTATGCAGCGAATGCCCTTCCAGCTGCATCACTTCACTTTCAGAATTTCACTTTCAACAAATAATGACTTTTACTTACAAAGATGTCTTTTTGGGAAGTTTTAGGTTGTGTTTTGTTAATATACACTCCAAACCCCCTATGACCAGAAGAGTACCATGATGCTTTGAGATATGCTTAAATGATAACTGTATTTCTCTCCCACACACTAAAGCGACAGCGCACAAATAGAACCTATTTTAATGCTAAACTAACGTTTTGCATAACATCCAACATAAAACTCCTAATGTAATTTTGAGCTTTTAGATATGGATCATCATAAAGTTAAAACAATTATTTTGACAAGTAGTTGATCAGAGTCATTCTGTACAACACATAAGATGAGGAAAGCATTGTTCTTGTATAAATAATAACCATTATTGACAACTTTTGCAAGGTGTTTTGCTAATGTGTACAGGTTTCAGTTCCAATTTTCACCATTTTTCCCTCAAAAAAAACAAATTCCTGTGGACTAAAAAAAATATCTTCTGTAAATCCTTGAACATTTCAATAGCATGCACCTTCAAAATAGCTGGGGTTATGGGACACTTAGATGGTAAAGTCACCATAATGCTATCCGTTAAATGATCTTTTGGTAATTTCTAGATCAAATGTTATTTAGGAACAGGCTTACAAGTTACAACATATCAAAAAACAAGAAAGTCATTGCCAATCAACAACGTAATATTAGCTGTAATCAATGAATAATGATGTTGAAAAACCTTTAAGATGTGTAAGAAGCTTTGGATCATTTCACCACAGAAATACTGGTGCTTTTAATACATGCCTTTTAATACATCAACCCTAAAATGAGGGTATTAATTATTGCAAATGCTTGGACGTGTTTGTATAGCATGCACTAGTTCGTGTATTTCTGTGTTATTACATTTAGATGGAAATATGTCACCACAGTGCCATTCCTTAAATTATATTTAGCAGATTTGCTGAGCAAATTATTCATGCTTACATCAGTATAATGACTAATATTTGCCAAAATTCTGACTTTTGGATACCTTTAAGATGTATTGTTGTTTACAAGTTACAAATAGTTAAGAATAATAACTATTTCTAACTGTCATTCTATTTTTACATATATATATGTACTGATTTCCATATTGCATTAGCATGGCATTTGTATGCCAAGTATTGTACCGTCGAATGTTAACATGTCTACCTCTTAGGCCATGATTCAGCATTATTATCCATTATTAAATATGGTAGGCAATCAAGTAAGTGTCTGCTGACATCAATTTTTCAATCTAAACTTGTAATATTCTTCTATAACCGGATTCTTCTAGAACATTACCTCACATTCATGCATGTATGTTACAGGCGGTTTACTTCCACACGCGGAGGGATAAAAGCTGTGTGGCGCGGCATGGATGGAGCACCAGCGGCGGAGGGACACAGAGAGGCAGACTGAGCGCGTCGGCTCTTCATCTCGCCGGCATCATTCAGCCAGAGACGCTTCATAATCCTCTGCGCTGCATATGCTCTTCTATCATTATATCAAAAGCAGCCACATGTGCTTTTAAAAACCAATGCAGCTTGGCCCATTCTTTACGTTTTTTCTGTATGTAGACCCCCTCTAATACGTTATTACGCATGGTTACTCCAAGTATCTATAGATTTCATTTATAGACAGAGGGTCCTTCAAACGCTGCCCGTCGTTATCCGTGCAAGAGCTTCATTTTTTCTTGTGTCCAGCTTGACTGAAAGCAAACGCCGTTTGACAGACTGAAGAAACAGCGACTGACGGCTCCAAAATGGGGGTAAGAGTCTATTTGAAATGGATGTTTCAGTCATCGATAACTGCTGGTGCTGAGATTTAATGACATGTATGTAACGTTAGGCTGCATTACGTGCATTTAACAGGTGCGTTTATGTTTCAATCAACGCAATGTTTGTTGCTAACTATAATGTGCATTTTACGTAATATTGTCGGTTATCTTAACAGCAGGATGCAGGTTTAACATCATTGACATTGTGAAATTATGCCGCACGATTGGGCAATTGCGTCAAGTCGGATGCTTCATTTTTTGCGCCCAGTCCGATGCGTCATGATGCAGTTAAAGGACAGAAATGAAATATTCTAGTGAATTTACACACATGGTACACACCCACATTGTCATATAAGGTTATTACACCATAATATCTAATGATTTCTGCTTGTAATTAGACTGAGAGACTGGTATGTGTCATACCTCAGTCTTGAGGTGAACGCAAAAAATGAACTGCAGATGAAATATAATAATGAACTGTGGTATATTTATATAATATGTTTGAAATTCATACATGTATGCTATCATATTTCGTATTCAGTTTCACATTATGGTTATTTGTTGCCTCTTTTTGTTTCTGTCAAACGTGACAGCGCGTTAGGAATATAATAAGGACCGCAGTAATGACCATTTCTGTGAGGCAATATTACGTCTGATTTTAAAATCACACCAGAAAACTTACATTGGGTTTAAGTTACCTCATTATATTAGATTCAGAAAACATCTGTTTTTGAAACCCAAGGTTTATATATAGACCATTTCAGGTTGCTAGTTGGAAAGGCGACATCTTAACCATTTCTCCTCAGTCATTTTTATATGCAGGTCGTTTGCCTGAGGAGAATTTCTGTCAGTCTCCTAAATGTAAGGCGTTAACCACAGATGGGGGTGGGGGAGCATATGGATTTGGGATGACTGCATCTGGGCTGACCCGTTTCAATAGTTTCACAGTCGACTATGAAACTTCTGTATTACATTTATGACAATAAATCCTAATCATTATCGGTAAGAAGATGCGTATAACTGCGTCAAAATGGGTGTCTGCTGATTCACCAAGCTCCAAAATATTGAATTCCTTTCGTCATTAAATGGCCTCTAGGTTATTAATCTGCGACCTTGCAGTAACGTTATCCTATTTAAAATGGTATTACCAAGATCTACAAATCAGCTGGTCTGAAATTAAACGGCGATGCTGTAACGCAAGGCCATATCATCCTCAAGATGTACCTTTCAACATGACGCGATGTTCTGTGTCTCGGTCTCTGTGTCGTTTTTGACATGCTGATATCGTGATGTCGTGATGCCCGGAGGGGTAACCGGGCTCAACGGTCGGTGACTGCGTCAAAGTGAAGGCTGATCAATGAGAGTGGAAATTCCCGAAGAAGCGCCGCGATTGGGCGGCTGTGACGAGGAGGCGGGACTATATGCGCACAGCTGCCGGTGATTGATTGGTCGTGAGCCAATCAATCAGTAGCTAGAGGCTGCATGATTGGCACAGAGCGCTAGGGGCAAAAGCAAGGGCTGGGGTTTGAGAGGGTGATTCAGGAGGGGAATGAAGTGAGCATGAAGGTGAACCATGGGGTTACAAGAGGTGGTTACCTGGAGTCACCGTGAGAGAGGAAGCCAGTCATTTCATTGGAGGTGCAGGTGCTTTGCTGGCAATTTATATCATCCCAAGTGGATGTTTATTGGTGGGTGAATATGTTTGGATAGGATAGCATACATAACTACATACAGATGAAGTCAGAATTATTAGCCCCCCTTTGAATTAATTTTTATTCTTTCAATGTCTCCCAAATGAAGTTTAACTGAGCAATGAAATTTTCACAGTATGTCTGATTTTTTCTTCCAAAGAAAGTCTTATTTGTTTTATTTTGGCTAGAATAGAAGCAGGTTTTAATTTAAAAAAAAAAACATTTTAAGGTCAAAATTATTAGCTCCTATTAGCGATATTTTGTTTTGATAGTCTACAGAACAAACCATCGTTTTACAACAACTTGCCTCATTACCCTTACCTGCCTAGTTAACCTAATTAACCTAGTTAAGCCTGTAAATGTCACTTTAAGCTGTATAGAAGTGTCTTAAAATATCAGTAAAATATTATTCACTGTTATCATAGCAAAGATAAAATAAATCAGTTGTTAGAAATGAGTTATTAAAACTATTATGTTAAGAAATATGTTGACAAAAATCTTTGCTCTGTTAAACAGAAATTGGGGAAAAATTAACAGGAGGGCTAATAATTCAGGGGGTCTAATAATTCTGACTTCAACTGTATAACATCCATAATAACATCTAACATACTTATTAACATACAGTTTCTGCAGTAATAGGTTCTAAATGATTTGTGTAGTTTCAATTCTAGTATACACTTCTTTATAATGTTAATACTTATCGACAGATTTATATTTCTAGAAAATATAAGATAGCACAATTGAGAGTCATTGCATTGATTTAATTTACTGATTTATGGACATATGTATTGTATTAGGCCTCATTTTATACTGGGTTAACTGTATAGGGATTAGTGAATGTGTTGCCTACTTAATAATTAGTAGGCAACACAAGCTGTGTCCAAAAATGCATGCAGTATAGTTAATTTGAAAAATTTGTGACCATTAAAAACTATTCTATATAGTATGAATATGTGTATATCAACACACAGTATGCGCCATGTGCATCAATTCTCTCCTGAGACTTAAAGTGTAAATCAAATGCACACTTTAGGATCTCATTAGTAGTCGGTAATCTTGGGTTTTTACCCACTCTTACTCTTGATTACAATATTGCAGACTTAGCAAATGCACGCACAAACAACCATTTTAAATCTTAAAGATAGTATCCAATTTGAGAATTTCGGCTTTTGAAAGGGCGTTTGCCAACATTGTGGCCACTTTGCATCCTTAATACCCACTTCTGCCAAGCCCAAAGTATACTTTGGCTGTCCATGTTCTGCATTAATTTCATGCAATGGTCTCGTGATGCAGTTTTTATCACTGAGAGTGTCAAATTTGAGTACAATTTTTCCTCAGAGACATTCTAGGGGGAAGGATTACATGATATTTATTCCATAAAGCATTAACAGATGGTAATATGTTACAGCAATTTATTTTAGTTGATTGCAAAGACCCCTGTCTTTAGTCTAGATCTTTGGGATTCAGCTGTTCCTGCTGGAAGATGGAGGCAGGGCTGGAGCCATCCCCCAACTCGTGGACAAGGAGGAGCAATGAGGTGGTGGGGAGGGTGGAGGAGAAGATCAGTGTCTTCAACTGTGAACATAAAAGTGATTGGCCAGACCTTATAGTTACAATGAATGACATAATGCCATTAGTATTGGTTTATATTTATTCATTTAGCTTCTATCTAAAGTGATTCTCTCTCACACACACACAAACACACACACGCACCCAGAGCCTTAGCCGTGGTATTGAGGGTGAAGAAAATTGTAGTTATTCACTCCCCCACCTACAATCCCTGCAGGTGCCAGGACTCGAACTTGTTACTCAAGTTTAACTCTCTAACTATTAGGCCACGGCTGAGGGAAGTTATCATGAACATACCCAGCCAATGGGTTACAAATTTTATTCAACAATTGGGTTTTTGCCTATTTTATCAACATTAAAGATAAAACAACCACATTTTCATTTAAAATAATCCAAAAAATCAAAAACAATTCATATTTCTTCAGCTTAATCCTTGATTTATCAGGAGTCGCCACAGCAGAATGAACCACCAACTACTCTGGCATATGTTTTTACACAGCAGATGCCTCTACAGCCACAAACCAGCTCCGTGCTGGAATAATCAGAGACAGTTATTGAATTAAAATAATGGTAACACTTTACAACAGGGAATACATACTGTAGTTAATGTTAGTTAATGCACATACTAACATGAATAAACAACGAACAATACATTTATTACAGTATTCATTTTTTGTTTGTTAATGATAGCTAATGAAAATACAGTTGTTTGTCATTACTTAATGGTAACACGTGGTGCTTTAACTAATGTTAAACAGCACAGTATTGGTTTTTAATAATGCATTAGTAAATGTTGAACTTAATAATTGCTGTATGGTTCATTGTTCCTTCATGTTAGTAAACATTAACTATATATGCAGTATTGTAAAGTGTTACTAAAATCATTTGGAATTACTCCCTGATTTAGTCATGCAATGTAATCTCTGAAATGTGATATTAAAAAATATCCTTAAATTATCTGAAAAATATCCGTTTTCCGTATTTTGAGATTCGTGTTTTTATTTTTCTCTATTTATGCTTTTGAATTGCATTATGTGATCTTAACCTTTCTTCTAGCAACATTGAACATTGAAAAAGATACAAAAAAGTGACTTTTAGGAACATTTTTAATGCAGTATAGTCTGGGTTGGTGTTGTATATTACACTACAAATATCTTGTAATAAACCGTTTGTTAAATAAACATTTTCAGTTATTTTACAGACTTATTTCTCTATGTATTACCTATAAATTATATTATTTAAAACTACTAAAATGTAAATTAAAGTCTCTTAGTTTAGCTGTAAGGTCAAGGTCTCAAAATGCAATTCACAATTGTAAATAAACGGACAAAACTAGCGAATCACAAATTACGGAAACTATTCATTTTCAGATAATTTTTACAGTGTAAGGTAGATATTTTTTTATTTTTTAAACAGTATAAGCTTTACTGTACTACACTGCAGCCAATGTTTTGCCCTCTGAAATAGTAACAAGATGGACAGATGCATGATATCATTATATGGATGAAAGATAGGGTTTTAGTGGGCGGTTTACCTGCTGTCACATTGAAAACGGAGGTGACCCGTTCTTGAGAGGCTCAGGTGCTTGGGGTTGTCGGCAATTAGTATGACGTGCATGTTTCTTAGAGGGCGACTCTGCTGCGATGCCCTTGGGACATGCATCCTGAGATACCAGTCTGTCTGAGGCTTCAAGGGCACAGCAGGTGATGTTTAGAGTAGCAGGAATGTCAT